CATTGATTGTTCGGATCATTGGTATATTAGCCTTCCGCTGCGCTATCTTGTACTATGTGAGAGAGGTCAGTTCTTGTTCTGGTCTGCACCTTTACAGTATGCAACACTGAGACTATGTCAGTGAACGTGGTTGATGTATTTCTTTTTCCTTTTTCTTTGGTCTTTTTTTTTTCCTTAAATTCCCCCGTTCTTTATCTTGTCGTAATCCCAGTGGTCTCTTGATCACCGCGAATGGTGGCTTCAATGCTTCTGGTTGGCCGCATGTGGTATGGTTGCTAACGATGTGCAGAGAGATGTATTGGGTGGTGCGAGTGAGGGGAGGTGAGGGGTGTGTATAGGGGAGAGGCAGTATCTGATGGATACTTGGCTATTCGCCAATATCTACGTAGGGTGAGTACGTGGCAAATGGTTCAGCCTGTGTGTGTGGGGAGGGGGGGGTCGCGTGAGGGTTAGGGGGGTGGAGGAGAAAGGGGTGGTCGTGGTAGCTTTGGCAGTGTAATGGCGTGTTATGGTAAGTGGGAGATGACGAGGGGGCTTGCGGTGGCAGCGGATCTAGGGTGGTTAATCGATGTTTTTTTTTCTTTTTTTCGTTTTTTTTGGTGCTGATTCTCCTACGTTGATTCTAATGCTCTCCTGTCCGTTGTTGGCACTCTGTCCACGTTTCGCAGAAGTGGTGGACTTGAGAAAGTGAGATCGGAGTTGTCGTTGGATAGGTCTGGGGACATTGATGAGAGATTGGCGTTTGGTGAAAGAGGGTGGGGGGGGGAGAGAGCGGATGAGACCGTGAGGTTAGTGGAGGTAGGGATGGGGAGATGGGGGGGAGGAAGGATGGGAGGAGGGTGGAAGAGGAATGGTAAGAAGAGGAGTGAGAGATGGTCAAAAGAGTGGGGGACATGCATCAGGGGGAGGCTGGGGGTGAGATATCAACTTAGCAGCCGTTCTCGGGATGCTCCTGGGGATCTCCGTGGTGGAATCTCCTTGGCTCGAGGTCTGCTTGGCTAGTCGCTGGTGTGTACTGCAGGCATGTTACGATGGGACGATGCTGTTTGATGTACTGGGGACTCCAAGCTGTTGGCCAGCTTTGTTGGGCGAGTTGTCTCTTTGTGAAGTTTAATTTTTGTGATGGTGTGAATAGGGTGTGTTAGGCAGCAGGGTGGCTTCAAATCAGTGGAGGGGTAAAGCTGCTACGACGATGCTGCACTCCTCGTGGTGGTGGCGCGTGCATCGGGCGCACTTTTGAGCGGGGCGTCTACACCCCCTCGTGGCGATGACGGGCGTTGCCGCCCGACTTCAGAAGTTCGAAGTTGGGCGAGSGRGGSGSGSGSGGGRGGSKGGGSGGGRGGGSGGKGGRGGGKGGGGGGGGGGGGGGGGGGGGGGGGGGGGGGGGGGGGGGGRGGGGGRGTTGGTTGGMGTCATCCCGTRRGCSGKGGCCRGGCGCTAGCACGAATTAGCGCAGCGCTGGTTTTCACGCGCTAACCGATGGTGCGGGCGCAGAGTTCCTTATTGCCCTTACAAAAAGAATTCTTATACATTTAAGAGAGAAAATTATTATAATAAGCTTAAGGTGCAGACGGTGGCGGTATGTGAATGAGGCCCGAAGGCGACAGGGCAATATTTCCCTTTCCGAGTTACACTTCGAAAGCGGGATTTTGTGTGTGACCCAGGGGAATGGCAGTGGTTAGCCTGCAGGATGCAAAGGAAGACCTTGCAGCTCCATTGTCTCACCGCGAAGAACATTTACAACTCTCTGCTGGATCCTGTGGGCATATGTGGAGAATTGAAAAATCGATGGGCCAAGAGGGATTGGATCCCAGATGTGTATGTCAATAGATGGACTCAGCGCAGATGGAACGAGCAAAATGCTATTTTGGGTGCCCTGCCACACTAGAAGCAGGCAGGCCTGCTGGGGCAGCTATACCATCTGGCGATCCCCTCAGCACAATGGCTTGCAGCAAGGAGTCGGCACAAAGACCAGCTATGTGCAGCAGGATGCGGCCAAGTGGAGACCATTCCGCACCTCTTTATGAGGTGCCCGGTGGTCCGGGCCTTCTGGGAATGGTGGGCGCAGGAGATGGCGGACAAAACCCCCTTGGGGTCACGGAGACGGATGATGCAGGTATCCTTCCGGGGCCCCTGATGAGGGTGGACAGATCGCAGCTGGAGGACCAGATGGCTTCAGAGATCATTAGGGCAGCAGTGCTGTGGGAGCTGTGGACTTTGAGGAATGAGCGATGTAGGCAGCGAACTGCACCACCACTGCGGGCTTACCAAGAAAGGGTGATGGAGAATACTAGAATCGCCCTCTTCGCAGATTGGCAGCACTGCAAGCGTAAAGGAGGGCAGGAGGGAGGCTTTGGGGCATAATGGGAACCGTATCCGCAGCTGCTCACCCCACACCCTCAGACGGGCCCGATGCAGCTGGGCCCTGGCCTGATGTGTCATGTACCACGGACTGATGCAGAGGGAGAAGAAGAGAATGACTAGGCAGAGTGGGATAGAGTATCATGAGAACGGCCAGTTTGTAACATAAGTAGGATGTGGGGAATGAGAGAATGGGAGGGAGAACAAAGAGTTGAGAATGGGTGGGAGAACAAAGAATTGAGAATGGTAGGTGTAGAAGAGTGGGGTAGGTGTGAAGGGTGGAAGGTTAGATAGTTGGGGGTGGGGGAGGGGGATAGAGTCAGCCTACAGAGGGGTTTAATCTGAAACATAAAAAAGGATGAAGCCGGACGGGGTAGGACTAGAGGATAGAGGGTCATGTGGAAGAGGAGTAGGAAAATGCTGGGGCTACCAATAATAGAATGGAGGTACATAACAACAGTGTTCATAGAGTCATGGAAGACTGTATACAGCATTCAAGGGACAGAAGAGGGGGAAAAGATCAGTTAGAGATTGAAATGGGCCAGGGGTCATACGAGAGATGGACAAATGTATGATAGGAGGAACTGGGAGCTAGACAAGGTTTGGAGTGAAAACATGGGATAAGCGGCCCGAGGGACTGCTCTGAAACGGGGCCCCGCGTGCCGTGGCCCACGATGGATCACCCTATTGCGTGTCTGAGTGCTGCTAGTAAGCCTCCCGGCCAATACGGTCATCCACCATGGAGGGACAAAGGGTTGGGGTAGGAAGTACAGAACCAGCCCCCCCTTGTTTAGGCAGCTAGTGCCACGAGGGTTGGGCTGACCTTCTTTTTCTCGTCTTTTCTTCTATTGTCTTTATAAAAACATGCTTGCCGGGGACGAGTAACCGGGCTGT